CTAATAAAAGTTCTGATTTTGAGTGCTTAAAATAGTTGTTTAAGGCTGTTTTGGCGTTTGGGGTTGTTTGACCCCTCTTAGGCCTTGTTTGGCCTCATTTTTGTGCATTTTTGGTGAGCTTCGGGACCACCTTGTTTTGGCCTCCTCACCACTGAAATCCAGAGGGACTGGATTTCAGTAGTGAGGATGGTGCTTTAAGGTCCTAGGAAGGAGAGGGCCATCCCCTCTCCTTGTTACCTTCAAAACTTGTCATTTTAGCCTCATGTGTGAGCACCTCTCTTAAGTTCATGTTGGCCATGTCTTAGGTAGTATTTGTGCTTATTTTTCCATGATATAGCACTGTTTTAAGTTGGTTTAGACACACCATGCACGCTTTGCATACTTGTCTTGTAATGCCATGAAATTGCCTTAACATGCTTTGTGCTTTGAGCCTTGTTTCTAGCATTATTTTGGCTTAGCTTTGTGAAGCTTTTATGTATGTTTTGATGTGCTTGAGGTTTGATTTTGGTCATTTGGGTCATCCATGACTTGTTTTGTATAGCTACCATGCAATCTCCATTGTAGGCCTTGAGTATTGGATCCTCTAGCATGCTCTACTTGCATCATTTCAGTGGTTTGGCACCATTAGTAATGTCATTTCAGTCCATATAGTATGCTTGTATACTTGCATTTATGACTCCTTTGATGTTTCAAGAGGTTTGTATTTTATGCTCCATGTTTGGGTCATCATGCATGCCTTTAGACTTAGGCATTTGGAATGCCACTTAAGTGTGTTTTCGATCTTGTTTAGATCTGCATTGGGACTGTTTTAGGTCCCCATGGCCCTTTGGGGCTTTCTTCATTTAGCCTTGGTTTGAGTCCCTTGGCTAGTTTTCAAGTTTTGGGCTTGGTTGCATGCTTTGCTTGCTTTGTTTAGTTGGTTTGGCACCATCCTTAACATGATTTTCAGAGTTTATCATGCTTACCATTTGTCCATATTTGTTTCCTTTTAAGTGTGCTTAAAAGTCCCTCTTTTATGCGTAAGTGTTGGACCATGTTTGCATGCATGTTTGTATGTAAATTTGACTTCATTTCCATAGCATTTGGCCACTATTTTGGGCCTAGTAGAGAGCTGTCCATCTTGGTGTAAGTCCATCATTCGCATGTTGTTACATGCTTGCCTTGTATGTTGTTATACGCTTGGCCTTTGGCATGTTGTTGCATGCTATACATGTTTGTATGTTTAGATGCTTAGCCTATTAACATGTTGTTGCATGTTTAAGTGGTTTTGCATTTGGCATGCATCTTGTGTTAAGTTGCTTTACATGTTCCTATGCTAAGTCCCCCTCACATGTTGTTGCATGTTGGTCATTAGCATTATTGTTACATGTCTAGCATGCTTGTTTGCTTAGGTTGTATGCCTAGTACACATTGCTTATTTGAATGCTCATATTGCATACTTAGCTCGCATGCTTAGGTTGCATTTTGCATGCATACCTTGCCTCTTGAATCACCTTGATGGAGGTTAGGTCCATTATTTGTTTATGTGCATTTCATTTGACATTGAAATGGCACAATTGACCTCTTTGGCCATCACGCATTGAAATGCACAATTGATGGCCCGAGGGTCGAGTACCAAACTCCTTTGAGTCACAAACATGATAAGGAGTGTGGTGTGCAGACATTTGCTTTAAAATGCATTGTCATGCCTTGCTTGCCCTCTGTTGCTGTCAAAATAGGATTCTGCAAGCATAGATGGCCGACCGACCATATTTAGTGCCGGCCGGCCATGAATTGGTGGCCGAGAGCTTCATCTGTGGTCGATGACCACTTTCCCATGGCCGGTGGTGTTTCCTCTTGGCCGGTGACCTTCCACAGTGATCAGGAAGTGATTCTGGAGCATCATTGAGACTTGCACAATTTTCAGAGCAGCAGAGCTGGGTGAACAGAGGCAACTTGTGCATAGTGGTGGATTTCCGAACGAAGTCGAGTACGCATGCATTGGACCTTCTTCCGGAGGCTGTTTTACCGCTTTATTTGCTTAGTTAATTTGCTTAACTAGTTAAGTGGTCTATAACTATTTAATTAGCTTGTTAGTTAGTTAAATCTGTATTATTCTTTTGGTCCCTCCGAGAGAGGGCGAATTGTGTAATAAGCGTGCGTGTGTGTGATGCGTGTCTTCCAACCCCCACTTCTTTCTCCCTTTTACTTACCTGCTTTGATGGTTAGTATTAGGGCATACTTTAATTAGCATCCTTATGCTATGCATGTGTGCATTCATTCATCAGTATTGCATGCACCAGGCTCGGCGCATCATACTAACTGCATAGCATTTCAAATCTAACTTGAATACATGTTATCTGTTGCATTTCACTTGCCATCCATAGATTAGCCGAGCCTATTCTAGCTGCATTTTGCCTGCGATGCATTAGCCATCTCAACATGGACTTGGATCATACATTTGATTACTAACATGTTCCTTGATTTGGCTTGGAGTACTAGGTGAGTGTTTATGCTTTAGCATCTCGCATGAGTATGAATGTTAACATGAAAGCATGCTTGCCATGAGGCTAACCGCTTAGTTGATTTACTGCCTGAATGCATGTGGGTGAAGGTTGGATTGTTTGAATTGGAATAATTCATCGAAATTCGTATTTTAGCCTACTTGCGAGTAGTAAACCTCAAATCATTTTCAAACATTGGATATACGATGCTTTGTTCCAAATTAGGCAATCTAGTCTATACTTTTGTGTTGTGCGGATCACATAGTAATTCTAGGCTAATAACCGGAATAAGAGCACATGTGTTTTCAAAAACAAGATATCATGCTTAATAGAGGCCGATTTTTGATCGGGCGAGCGGGGGTGCTCATAGCTGATTCCCCAATCATACCCAAGTTCCCGAGCCGAGGCAACTTTGGTGATGACAGACACGTGGCCTTAGGCAAACGACTCAGGGTTTCCTAAATTCCCCCATAAAAAATATTTAGGTGGCGACTCTGTATCTGGCAAAGCAGTCCATGTTTGGCACTTCTTTCTAAAAATTTGTTTTTCAAAACGATTTGCCGGATTTGGACTCTTTGATGATTCATCGGTCTTGCATTGCACTCTATGAGATTAGATACAAGAACCGTGACATTTGAGTCCGAACTGTAGTGAGCCCGTATGAACAAAACGGGATTTCCCTCCTAGGACGTTTAGGGACGTCTACAATTATGTATTGCATAGACTGCAATGTAATTTTTCTGCTGGCTTTCGAAGATGGGCCAGCCAGATACTGCATTATTAGATGCCTCCAATCTTGTTCTTGTAAGTCATTACGATTGACTTTCAGGACCACATTCCTTTTATTTAAGGGTGGTAGCACTTTCTGATATGTTGTTTGGCTTATGTCCTTTTGAGTATTATCCCTTCTCTTGAAATTCGAAACTTTCTGAGCCACATCATTAGCTTTATTATTCAAGAATCTTGGGACGTGAGTTACATTTGCTATCTGAAATTGAGAAAGAAGATGTAATGCAAGTATGGCAACATGCTTATACTTTGACATTTGAAAATCCCTTTCACCTGGTTAACTACCAATTGAGAATCTCTAAATATGTCAACTGCATGAGCTTGTAATCCAATAAATATTTCCAGTCCCATTATTAAGGCTTCATATTCAGCTTGATTATTGGAACAAGTAATTTCATCCACTCTGAAACTATGCGTGGTTTATACTCCTTGTGGTGACTTAATTACTACACCAATTCCAGTTAAACCATTAGCTTTTGATCAATCGAATCATATTTGCCATGGTTCAACACTAGCCATACCAAGTTCCATTATCTCTTGTCTTTCTGTTTGACATGGATGGTCTACCAAAAAATTAGCTAAAACTTGTCTTTTACTGCCTTTTGGGAAACATATTCTAGATGAAATTCTGATAAAGCTAATATCCATTTGCCAATTCTTCCCCTCAACATGGGTCTAGATAATATATATTTAACCAAATCTATGGTTGCAATTACCAAGACAGTTGTAGACAAAAGATAGTATCTTAATTTCATTGTAGCAAAATACAATGCAAGGCACATCTTTTCTACAGCTGAGTATTTACATTCACAAGAATTTAGAAATCTACTAAGGTAATAAACAGCTTGCTCCTTGCTCCTTGCCTTCTTCATTGTCTTGGACTAAGAAAACTCTCAATGAATCCTCTACTGCAGCTATGTACAACTTCAAGGGTTTATCACCCTTTGGTGGCATCAGCACTGAAGGGTTGGCCAAGTAGACTTTGATTCCTTTGAAAGCAGTTTGATGCTCTGCTGTCCACACAGACTCCTCTTCATCTTTTAGCCTTAACAAGGAAGAAAATACTTTAGTTTTCCCTGCAATATTAGAAATGAATTTTAGAAGAAAATTAACCTGTCCAATGAACTGTTATAAAATAATTATTTTTTTTAAATAAATAAATTAATTAATCAATCAAAATAATCTGACATTAAAAATCATAATTAAACTATAAAATATCTATTAAAAAAAAAAAAAACCAGTGAAGTTTTACACCAACTTCAATAAAGAAAATTAAAACGCCATAAAAATAAATTAAAACAATATGTAAAGTTTTCTCAGAATGTTCCCCTCGTTCAGCTCTTCTCTTATCGTTAATGGTTCAAGGTGGTAATTCTTCTCCAGGTTGAGATCATTCTGCCAATGAACTTCTTGCCTTGCATCATTCATCCAATTAGATTAAGGAAATTCTAATATACACTTTTCTTCTCTTTTTTAAAGTGTACTATATACACCTTTAATTATGTAATTTGCTTCTTTAATTATGATTAATTTTTTTCTTTAATTATGATATTATTTTAGTTATAATTTATGAGTTTTTTTAGTTATATCTCATGTTGTATTTAGTTATAATAATTTTTTATTTATGACTTAAAAAATTAAAATTATGTATATTTTTTTAATTATAAAATATATATGGTAAACACATGTTTAAGAATGTGCACCAAAATATTTCCATCATGCCATCATTCATCCAATAACCTTTGAAACCATATCATCCAACAAATAGAATCCAATTGCTTTTGCTTCACCCGTGAATCACTTCTTTTTTCTGGTAAGAAGAAACACATGTTTAAGAATGTGCACCAAAATATTTCCATCATGCCATCATTCATCCAATAACCTTTGAAACCATATCATCCAACAAATAGAAGCCAATTGCTTTTGCTTCGCCCGTGAATCACTTCTTTTTTTTTGGGTAAGTAAGTCATAAATAAAAACAAAAAGCTAACACAAAATACAAGGGGCATGCCTGAGGCCCTATCCACAACTATACATCAAAAAAAATAAAAATAAAAAAGAGCAATAGCAGACCTAACCAAAGACACTAAAGGCCATACACAAATACCAAACAACTAACAAACTAAACATCTCACAAACAATTTTATAATAAACCAACGGCAGCAACTAGCATAAGAACCCAGCATAAGAACCGAGGACACTATCACAGCATAAATGGTCACCCCGGAGAACAAAACATCCCTTGCACATCCCGCAAGGGTAGGCACCCAAATACACTAATAAACACAACCTATAGACAATTAAATATATAGGAAATAAAACATATTTCTTGACACCATCGGCGCTCCCAGCAGCCAACAACTTGCTTCCATACTTTCGAATTTTAGTGATTCCCCATTTTACAGCCGCACAATGTATTAAACCGTGCTTCCATAGATTAGGGGAGCTTCGCACAATCCTACATCCACAAACCGTGTCCCTATTGTTCCAATAAGAACTGCTACCAGCAAAGAGAGAGCTATTCCTTACACAAAACAGCCACTTTTTCCAGCAGCCTTTGAGTAACGCATCACCCTTCCTTAATCTAAAGTAGCCTGACCAAATTAAGTGGAAATAGAAAAACCACACATTAATAAAATATAAACACACATTTTTTGGGCTCGCATCACTCAACACACAATTTAGATTCTCACTCCACTCAAAAAACTTCAGATCCATGTACCTGCAAAACAGAGGAAGATTAATAGACATGAATATATAACAAACACTCAACATGGCTAGTAGAAATGGGGTATGGATATTTGTGTATCTCCCATAACACTCAACCCACTGAGATTGGTTATTATCACTCACAGCTAGCAGTTCCATCTTATCCATGTACCTACAAAATGAGCAAACCATTAAGAAAACACTCAATTTGTGCTACCATCACTCAACCCACAATTTACTGAACTCTCAACTCTCATTCCATTTGTTGTTGCTTTCAGCACAGTGTTAGGCAGCCGCTAGGAACTCAAAAACCAACTGTCACTAGGATGCAATTTGAGGTTAGTAATAGACATTACTCGAAATCTAATCATATCCACAATGCCTTTAATCACAATCTCTTCATGAATCTTTTCCTTTCTAAATATGCAATTGTTCCTAACAATCCAAAGCTGATACACAGTACAAGTAAATGCAAGTTTTGTGACCACAGCACTAAGAGATTTACCTTTGACCATTTTAGAAACCAACTGAACAATGTCAGGCCAAAGTAGATGGGGCCAATTCACATTAAGTTTCCCTTTAAAACTTTCCCAAACTCGACTAGAGAAGGGACAATCAAAGAATAAATGGTTATGATCCTCATAAGGGTCATTACACAAAACACACATAGAGGTTTGAGATATACAAAACAGCTTAAGCCTATCCCCTGTGTTTAATCTCCCCAAAATAGCCATCCAAGTAACCATACTTGCCTTAGGGATATTATGAGGACCCCATCAGAAGACGGCACCCAAATAGCAGTATCATTACCAGAGTTGGGAGTAAATGTAAGCGGGGTATGCTTAATCAACTCCTGTAAGAAGCTCCTCCTTCTCCTGGGCCAACTCCAAGAACGATTATTAACAATCCTACTAACCTTAGCATCCATCCCAAAGGCAGTATCATAGACAACTCTAGCACCAAACCTCGCCCACAAATATCCAAGAGGATGCCAATTGTCAAACCACAAGAAAACATCATCCCCATTCCCAATTTTGTGCAGAATCAAAGGGTAAATGACAGGATGAAGGGATAGAATTTTCCTCCAGACCCAAGAAGGGTCACTAGGCATTTTAACCCTCCATAGACTCTGACCTTTAAGTAAATAGGATTTCACCCACTGGCACCACATAGACTGCTCTCCTCCGGAGAAAAGAAACCATATATGCTTGCCCACTGCAGCTTTGTTCCACACCTCTATGGATTTAAAACCAAGACCCCCTTCATATTTGGGGGAGCAGACATGCTTCCAAGACACTTTAGCCCCATATTTCCTAAGCTCACAACCAGACCAAAAGAAAGATCTAAAGAGACTCTCAATAGATTTGACAACCTTCTTTGGGAGGATAAACAACGAGGACCAATACACTTGCATCGAAAAGAGAATGGATTGAATCAGTTGAGCTCTACCAGCATATGTAAGACATTTGTTAGTCCAACTCTTGATTCTATTTCTAATGCTCTCAACAAGTTTGTCGCAATCACTAGATTTCAACTTAGTTGAGATTAAAGGAACACCTAGATATCTCATCGGTAATACACCCTTATTAAACTTGACAACATTAAGTAGCTCGTCACGCAACTTTTTCTCACACCCCGAGAAAAAAATATGACTCTTATGGGGACTAGGGGACAACCCAGATAGGCTTTGGAATTCATCTAACCCTTCCTTAATTACCGAAACAGTAAACTTATCCCCTTTGCAAAAAATCATAAGGTCATCTGCAAAACACAGATTCACAATTTTAGTTTTATCACACCTCCAATGGAACTTAAAATCAAGATGGGTAGATTTTTCAACTAGAATTTTGGAAAGAATCTCCATCACCATAACAAAAAGATAAGGAGACATGGGGTCACCTTTCAGACCCCGAGCCCCTTTAAAGTACCCATGAAGGCTCCCATTGATACATATGGAGAAAGAAGGACTTGTAATACAAGCCTTAACCCAACAAATGATATTTGGATGGAAACCCATAACTCTAAGGACATCAAGAACAAAATCTCACCTAACATTATCATAAGTTTTCATTATGTCAACTTTCATTGCACAGCTTGGGGTAGGAGGAATCACTTCTTTTCAATTGGCCATGACACGTTGGTTGCTGCTGAGAATAGAGTTTGGGTTCAATTTGACTTATTTTTCTTCATTTTTTTCCTTTAATTATCAATTAGCGTCAATCTTCATCTTAATTGCAAATTTTTCTGTAAAAAGTAAAATTAAATGATTTAACTCAAATTAAAAATAAAATGAGAGAATTTAAACAAATTTCCAAGGGTGGATTACGCTAATAGTCTCTATAGTTTGAGGTATGTGTCACTTTGATCTCTAACTTTTTAATTGTGATACATTTGATCTTGAACTTTGAATCTTGTTTCAAATTAGGACAACTGAAAATACCATTGCTTAATTTCAATGGCAAAATCATCAACTTGATAAAATATAAACTAATTTGACAAAAATAAATATCAAAAAAAATATTTTTGAATTTTTAAAAATTAATTCTACCCAGTAAAGATAAAATTATGTAAAATGGATAAATCTTTTAGACTTTTTTTTTTATCAAATTAATTTTTATTATGTGTTTTGATGATTATCATGTAATGGGTAGTTGTTTTTATTTTCATTAAACTAGTTTTTATTTTTTCAAAAGTCAAATATGGTTAAAACTTTGATATCATTATTAAAACAATTCATTAAATCAAAAATTCCAAAACTAAAAATATTTCATATATTAAATATATCAATTACACATTAAAATCCTAATAATCACCCATTACATGATCATCATCCAAACACACAACAAAAATTAATTTGGTAAAAATAAATAAATAAATGTCTAAAATATTTATCAATTTTATATAATTTTATCTTTTGTGCACAAAAATAATTTTTAAAAATTTTAAAATATTTTTTTGACATTTAGTTTTATCAAATTAGTTTATATTTTATCAAATTGATGATTTTGCTCTTGAAATTAAGTAATAGAATCTTCAATTGTCTTTATTTTGAACAAGATTAAAAATTTAAGATCAAATGTATCACAATTGAAAAGTTAGAAATCAAAAATGACACGAGCTCCAAACTATAGAGATTGTTAATATAATTCGCTCTATTTTTAATTATGTATAAAATAAAAATTCCATTGTGATCTATAATTTCGTATCATGGCCTATTTTGACAATTTTAAAAAAAAAAAAGTTTACGTATTAGTTTATTAACTTATTTGGATCACATCATTTATCTATTTGTGTACATATTTTTTTTAAAAAAAAATAAAAAAACTAAAAAAATAATCAATAAGTTAAATTATTATTATTTTTTTTTTTTTTTTTCTAGTTGGCAATCCTATGCTGTGATGCTTGAAACTGGGGAAAAGTGTAACCTGAAGTCAACTCCAGTATTTGTGTTGTTTTTTTTTTTAAATAAAAAATGTTAACTGACTCCTAGTAAAATTTTTGTTAGGCTTCGACAAAGGCTTAACAAAAATCTCACCAAACAATACAATTATCAAGCAATCGTGTTGAAGTTTTATGCCTTGAAAGTTCAAGGACTTTCTTACTGTAAAAATAATAACCAAAAAAAAAAAAAAAAGAGAAAGAAGAAAAAGATGATGATGTAAATAATTAAATAAACAATCAAATATAAGTAAAGTACATTAAGACTACTTGTATCTAAATTTAAACTACTCCTATGTAGATTAGATCTACTCCTAGGGTAGAAAAGAGATGAAAATTAAGTCATGTATTGATTTGTTGGTTCTCTTTACAATAGAGTCATCAATGACAATTTATACAAAAAAATATAAGAAAAAACTTCTATTAACTATCGTCTAACCACCCATATAACTTTCACCTTCTTACATTGTCACTTGTCCTCCATCCATTGAATCTTCAAAATTTGACTTAACTTCTCTTAACTTTCAAGATTTTTCTGCATAATCATAATAATAATAACAATAATAATAATAATAATAGAAAGTTAAACCTAGTTATAATCAATAAAAATTTTATTTATGGTGTAAACAATGCCCCCAACTCTTTAAGAATGAGTATTCGAATTCTTTCAGAGTTGTATGAACATAAATATATAATAGAAACTATGAAAATCATAATCCATTGTCCATATATATATAGTTTTTTGTTTGCTGAGATCACATCCAAATACTCCCCTATTACTGTTATATAAAAAAATAGAAATAAAACTCATAATTTCTCTTTGTAAACCACTTTATCAAAATTACTTTTTAATGTGAACCACAAAGCCATTGTAGTTGTTGGATGACAGAAATCATAATGTCACTTGACTTTAGAAAATTAATTTTTTTGACAAAATAAACAATGTCGAAAACTTCAAATTCATCAAATGTAGGTTGTTCATAATTTTTAGCCATATTTTTTCATCAAGTTTAGCCATATTTGGCTTAAAACCATGCCCTCCAATTGAATTTTCATCATCATTTTGTGATGGTTGTTCATCAAATTTAACCATATTTGGCTTAAAATCATACTCTCCAATGGAATATTCACCATTATTTTGTAATGGTAATTCAACATTCTTTGTCATATTTGACTTAAAATCATATCCTCTAATTGGATTAAAATGCTTAATAGCTTTTAGCAAGACAAGTTGGTCTTTTTTTTCAATTAATGGCTTAAAAAATTACCTCTCCGACATGCCATTTTTACAACTTAATTTTTCCTTAGCCATGATTTTTGTGGAGAGAAAGTTTTGCTTGGAAAAGCCTCTCATAAACACATAAAATTTGTGCTTTTTAAGATTCTTTAATTTTTTATTCCAGTGTTGAATTTCTCCATCAACTTGATAAATTAATAACTAAGTTGACGAGTTTTTTTATCAAAGTAATTTATATCTTTTTGCATCAAATAATATGACGGTGACGAAATTATTTGAAATTTTTGTCAATCAAGAGAATTAATTTCTTCTTACAGAGCCAAAATTTCATTCTTGCAGCAATAAATTTCATCCCCACAACACTGAATTATTCTTTCCAAATCATTTGTCATACCATTATGTTGTAGAATCATTATCATAATATTGACAATCATTATACATAGAAGATGAGGCATTCTAATAATAATTCGTACCCATTGGAACATTGTCACTCCATTAGTAGTTTGCATCCATGGATGCATAAGATGCAAACATGCCACTTGATGGCATATTTTCTTGATATTTTGTTTGTATCATTATTTTTTCTCTCCAAGTTAGGATGATGTCTCACTGGGCATGCCAAAAATTGTTAGTAAAATTTTTATTAGGCTTAGATCGATAGAGCGTTAACCAAAATCTTACCAAACAACACAATGATTAAGCAATTGTGTTTAGGCTCTATGCCCGAAAGTTTAAGGACTTCCTTGGAGTAAAAATAATGATAAAACAAACAAGAAAAAATAGAGAAAGAAGAAGAAGATCATGATGTAAATGATTGAATGAACAATTAAATACAAGTAAAGTACATTAAGACTATTTTTATCTAAATTAAAACTACTCCTATGTATATTAGATCTACTCCTAAGTAGAAAAAAAATGAAAATCAAGTCATATATTGATTTGTTGATCCTCTTTACAATAGTGCCATCAATGGCAATTTATACAAAAAAATAATAATAAGAAGAAGAAAATATTTCTATTAACCATCATCTAACCATCCATATAACTTTCACTTTCTTATATCGTCACTTGTCTTCCATCCCTTAAATTTTCAAAATTTGATTTAACTTCTTTTAACTTTCAAAATTTTCCTCTATAATAATAATAATAATACCTAATAAAAAGTTTAAATTTAATTATAATCAATTCAAATTGGGTAAATTACACTGACACCCCCTTGAGATTTCTATTTAATACAAATCCATCCTCACGTTTGAAAAATTACACTTGTCCCATATTAGATTAAAATGACATATTTGTTTCTTAACCTTTATACATATAAAATAATAAAATAATGCCGATATTTTGTTCATATTATTTCAAGGGAAATAACAATTATCTTCTTTAGTGATGTTGTTGTAAATATAAATCATGTTTATGATGTGTTTTGTTTTAAAGTGAAAGGTCGTCATTAAGGTATATCATTGTGTTTGAAAATTTTATATAAAATTTATGTTTGTATATCATCACTCAATAAGAATATGCTATGGTAGAATTTAATGATAGAAAGTTGTAAAATATAATCATGATAATAGAAAGAAGAACTGGTAGGAAAAAAGACAAAATGGTCATTTAAAAAATTTTCGGGTATGACATCAACAATTTAAGGGCAATTTGTAATGAGATTACAAACCTTAGGGAAGGGAATGCAATTTTTCAAATGTGAGGAGAGAATCTATATTAAATAGAAACCTCAGGGGGTATTAGTGTAATTTACTCTTTTGTGGGACCATCTCTGCCTTTCATCCCTTCTCTTTACAAATTAACTTTGAAGTATATACATATTCTTCATCATGTTAGGGGCAAAGAAGAGTACTTCTCTCATGTCGTCAAATAAGTCAATGACCTTCTTAACTTCATTGGGCGTAAAGGAGGACGTTTCTTCTATAGTTGAACAAGTGTCAACACACACAACCATCTCTCGAGAGTTTATGACAAGCACAGGTACTATATCTCTAATTTCTTTTAAAAGTCTGCAAAGCTTATGAAGCATATCGACTTTGATTAAGACGATGATGTCATGTTGGTCATGATAGTGCAATTATCTTCCCTTGAAGAACAAATTGTTGTATTGGCCAAAGTTGTTGAAACACTTGCAAAATGTGATCAAGAACAAAAGACTCAACTTACAAAGCTTTTGAATAAGCTTGAGAAAAAAACAACTTGTGGTGCGACAAATGATTTTGGAACCATGACAGAATTAGCAAAATAAATTACTCTACAAGGAATTCTTGAAACCTTATCAAAATTAGAAGTTTCAAGTAAGGATATTCAAGTCTTTGTTGATGGGTTGATTCATGCCA